TCCATTTTTGAAGGCTGGAGAGACGATTGATTTCTGTTTGAAGAAAATTGTTTGAAAGTATTGGATTGTAAAAATCCATTAAACGTCTAACAAAACAGTGACTTTCTGCTTATCAAAACTATTCTCACATGAAATGGTAATAAAAGAAGCTGCCAGTCTACAGAATTTGAATTTTGTGTTGGCAGACAGAAATATGAAAACTTGTCATCTCTCTGCATTTGAATCTGCCATGTCCAGATATGTGAAGTACTAACGTTTTCAAGCAGATTACTTCATATTACTTTAAAATAACACTTGCTAAAAGCCTAAATAGAAACGTATTTGCATGCCTGATGAAGCTGCAGGAAGGAAAAAAGTGGATGTCACTAATAATTCTCTACTTTTTCTATTTAATGAAATGGATCTCTATGACAAAATGAAGAGAATATGTTCAATCTTAAATCGCAAAATAAATAAATAAACGGTGAGAAGGGTATTTTGTGTTTTGCTAGGAAAGGGAAGCCTTGCCTTTCTCCCGAGCAGGTCACCTATAATGCCATTCAATTCTGCAGAATATAAATATGACCTAGTAGTGCTGCTGGGTTTCTGCTTTCCTACCTGAACTTTACTGAATCTTCCATTTTTCACTGGAAATTAGATGGCTATTCAGACATGTCAGTGCAACAGGAAGGATCCTGGAGATTTTCTGTATCCCGAATTTGCTATTTTTCCTATTGAGGACTGAAGAAAATTAAAACTAGATATGCCTTTTATAGACATATCTCTATGGATATAGGTCTCAATTATATCTATAGGCTATTCCTGCAAGAATTACAAGCTAATAAAGATGGTAAATTTTCTCCTGTTCTCTTCAAAATTGCCAATCACCAAAACCTTCTCGCTTTACTAGGCAGTACCTCAACAAAGATTTTTTGTAACTGTTTTTATATATATATATGCTTACATATATATATGAATATATATAATTTTGTACAAATTTTAATTTAAACAAAGGGGAAAAAAAAGAGGAGCTGTATTGTGTCTAATACCATAAATGTTTTTCTTATTTTAGTAATCTCTACATATCGAAATATTATCTGGCTGAATTTTAGGAGCAAGGAAACTGCTTTCCAGGATACAGCACACGCTGCAATTAGGGCGAGTTGCCTTCAGAAGCAATTCTCCCCAGCAGAAGCATTCACGGGATGCTGGATTTGCTGCCTTAGAAGCAAACCAAACTAATAGCGCTCTTAACCCCAGACAACTTGTTTATTATTCGAGCATTCCAGCCACACAGCGGCAAAAGAAATGCTTGGTCTTTGCTGAATTCCGGAATATAAAATATTTATTTTTCCGACTTGAGTTTGGGCAGACTTGCCTTTTGTTTTTGGTGGAGCCGGGCGAGGCGGAGCGGGGCCGCGACGCGCCCGGCCACGGGTGCGGGAGGTAACCATTGATTAGAGGCCTGCACGGCGAGCGGCGCCGCGTGCAGCCGCTCCTCTCCCTTTGAAGACTCCCGTTATGCATGAGGGCTTCATCAATATCCCTTCTCGGATTAATTAGATTAATAACGTGCATTAGACAGCGGGAATTTCGGCGGCCGCGCGAGGAGCCGATGGCGAGTGGGGGTGGAGGGCACCCTGAGCCCCTCGTGCCCCATCTCCCGCTCGCCCTCGCACCCGGACACGCCGCCTGTACCCGCAGCCGTCCCCATCCGCACCGGGAACCTCCCCAGGCCAGGCACGGAACACAGCACAGAAAGAGCGAGAAGCCTGCAAGTTCATCGCGTGGCCATTTAACATGCCCTTTACCACTCCACGAACCACACATGCAGCAATTCGCACGCAGACTTCAAAATAACGACAAAGCCGACTTTTCATCTCCATTTATACAGGGGCTAACGACCTTCGGACTTCAAGACTGATTATTCACTTTCACCTGGAAGCTCTCCGTGAGTTTTCTGAGGTCTCATCCCCTAAAGCCATGATGCCAAGAGCTTAGGAAAAGCTTTGGGGAGTAAAATATTATTATTATTATTATTATTAATTTCATTAAGCAATAGCCACAACCAAAATCTTTGAAAATTCCCGTTTTTCAATTGCATTTTCAAGAAGATTTTGACTCTACAGGCCCAGCTGGAAAGTCTGCAAGCCAACAACTTCTGTAGGGACTGAGACACTGCCCTGGACATTTCCTCTTGCTCGCCTCCCTCCAGGGATCCTGCAGGACGAGGAGATCCCTGGCTCCCTGACACAAAGCGGGGCGGCCCTGGCTCACCAGCTTGGTTTTGTTTTGGAGTAATGGGCCTTTTTGTGGGACCTCATGAAATGGGTCTTGCCATGCAAACTGCTACAGCACCAACCGAGGATGCAGGTGCTAATTCTGTACTCGGAGTGCTCTTCAATACTCTCCCCACTTTTAATGTTAAATTAGAGTACTAAAGCCAATTTATAAAATCTAGGTCACAAATGGAGCCACTGAAATAGCAGAATTGGGACAGCTGGTTCAGTGGAAATGAAATAATCTTGAAAACCAAATCCTGAGTGCCCAAGGACGCAGCTCTGGTTCCCCTCTTCTTCCTCACCTGCGGGATGCTCAGAAGAGGACTGGGGTCTCACTTGTGAGGAACAGCGAAAAATAAATCCCAAATAAATAAATTTCTCGCTGTCAATAACCGTGCAGCACCCCAGCGGGTGGGTGCAAGGTGGGACCTCTGCTCGGTGCGCCGCACAGCTCCTCTCGACTTGATTGCCATAATTGCTCTCTGCGAGCACCTTTCCCTCCCATTCTCCACGAGGGTAACTGCAGAAAACACATTGCTTTTTGAGAAGTGCTTCATCGTGAAAGCCCTTAACATCCCTTGTAAAGTGTCATTTTGTTAAATGAGGAACCTCCTTCAGATCTCTGTCAGAAAACAAGCAAAGCCCTTAGTGCCCTCGGATCCCTCTCGCACGGCAGAAGTCAAAGCGCTTGACATAAGCTCTGCCTCAGAAGAAAGGACAGATCCCACCATCAGCCCTCACCGCAAAAACACTTGATGGTTTAACTCAAATCACAGAATTTAAGGGAACCACAGTGCTCAGAGGGAAGGGGAGCGGGCAGGTTTGGGCGCTGGGAGCTGCTGCGAGCTGATGTGCATGGGTGCTCCTTCTCCTGTCCTTGTGTTTATTCTGCATTTTCAGGGGCCTGGAGGAATGAGGAGGCACTCTGAAATGTATGTGTGAAAGAGTAAATAAATACCAAATTTAACAATACTGTAATTGTGACTTACAGATAAATCAAAATGCAACATACGTTCTGTAATAATGCAGCTTTTGCTTTACCTTTCTGCTAAATAACTTCACATTTTTGACATATATTTTCCACATTCTGTCCAATACCAATTTATTCTACTATATGAAAGAATTCCTGAGAAGAGAACGTAAGTGGGGTATATAAAACCAGTATCACTCGAGTGCGATTTCTGCCAACTAATTGTGTCAGCATTTCCATTATGCACTTGCCTCCCCCCTCACCATAAAACATGCACACCTGGGCTCCATCCAAGAACGAATAATTGAGCTAAATTAAAAAAACCTGGGTTTGCACATGCTAAAATGAGAAAAACATACCTTGGTGGTGCAAAACCGCCGAGCTGCGATGCCCAAGGCCTGAGCCCTGCGGGCAGCCCGCGAGGCGCCCGCTCCCCGGAGCAGCCCGCGCGCTGCCCGGGCACAGGCAGCAGCCAAGGCGGCATCGACGGCACCCGAACAGGCAGCGAGCTGCGAGGAGAGGCGGCAGTCGAGTGGGAAAGGACGTGGCCTTGCTGCAGAGGTTTCGCGGGTTCCCGGTGGGCTCTCGTGGAGCAGAGCTGCTCCGTCCTCGTCCAAGGAGGAGGCAGCACGAGAGCAGCGGGACCTGCAGCGAGGGCAGCCTCCCACCCGCTCCAATCCCACTCTTTAATCTCAGCCCATCTGATGGGACAGGGAACGCGCTGTCAGATGGAAATTCCACTGACCCAAAGGCTCTACCGCATGGGCACCTTCTGGAGTTCAACATTCTGGCATTTTTGGACAAATGATGCATCATCACAGCTTCGTTATTTCCTCATTACCCACAAGTTAACAGGACAGTTTCACTAATACTTGTCAATGAGAAACTTGTGTTAGCACATGCTCTAAATGCTTGTATAAAAATTAGAGGGGCACAGGGTGGCACACAAGCTTCAGAGAGTTTTGAAAATACTCAGTACTTACCCTGTAACTTGTCAATGAAATTTTCATAGCAAGCAACAATCAGTGCAAAAGTTTGCTGCTGAAATAAAGGTATGGTGAAAAGCTGGCAAAGTTGGGCACTTCTGCCCTCCAGAAAGAATAACTCAGTTACCTACAGGACACCCTGCAGAACGAGGGCATTGTGACTGTGTTCTCCCACTCGCAGCTGCCATTAGACATGTGAGGTGGGACAGGCTACATTTCCCTTACTCTTGGCAACGGCAGTTTGGCACTAATTGCCAAAGGGACGGGGTCTCTCTGGCTGCATCACTGCAAAAGAAGCATGGAAGCTCATACTAAAAGCAGAGCTATGTCACACTGCGGGGTCTAGAGGAGACGAGCCCCTTTTTGGCACGAGTCTATTATCCTACCTCATAAAACACAGTTCACAAAAAAAAAAGAAATTGTTCTTTCTGGGAAAGAATTATGCTGATGGAGAGACAAAAAGGCATTGCCAAAAGCAGAGTTCTGTGACCTTTTTTTTTTTTTTTTTTGGTGCTGGAACCTTGCATTGCATTGCATGTGGTTGACTTCTATGGAGGGGCCTTCAGGGAGAAGATGCAATAAGCGCACTGTGGTCAGGAGACACCTCTCCCCGCTCGCACTTCCCTGGAGATCCACGAACGGCCCCGCTCCCCTGCAGCGGCTCTGTGCTCCGGAGGCGCTCTGCCGTGCGGCAAGCCGGGCGGGCGGCAGCGCCGCGCTCCCGCGCCCGGTGCCCGGCGGCCCCGGCGCGCTCCCGCGCCCGTGCCCAGCAGCCCCGCGTACCTCGCAGCAGCAGCGGGTGGTGGAAGGCGGGCAGCGGCAGCGCGCGGGTCCGCGCCGGCTCGCAGAAGTAGGCGCGCAGCCAGGCCACGCACTGCTCCAGCGGCGCCGGCAGCGCCGCCCCGCGCGCCTCCTCGGCCTCCGCCGCCCTGCAACGGAGCCAACAGGAAGGGTCAGTGCAAAACAAGGGCTCCCATCGCGTCCTTCTGCTGCTCCAGCGACGGCCAGGGGGTTCTCAGCTGCAGCCGCTCCTGGGAATTTGGTAGCCTTAGAAAAGAGCAAGAAAGAATGTAAGTAACGCACGGGTCTTCTGCAAAGCCGCGTCTTCATCGGCTCCTGAAATGCAAAGTCAGCACAAGGGTACTCGCAGCTCTAGGTCACACAGTTCTGTGACTTTTTTTTTGGTGCTGGAACCTCCTATTGCATTTCATGTGGTTGACTTCTACTGAGGGGCCTTCAGGGAGAAGGTGCAATAAACACGATGTGGTCAGGAGACACTTCTCCCTGCTTGCATCTTCCTGGAGATCCACGAATCGCCCCTCTCCTCTGCGGCAGCAGAGGCAGATGCAGGGAGGGAAACGGCCTGGGGAGGTGGGCAATGTTGGGAGCGAGGAGCCAGGACCACGCTGGGCCTCCAGGAAGAGGAGTCTCTCAGCACGGAGCTCCTCTGGCCCGGGGAGACGGCAGCGTTGGCCGCAGGAAGGAGAGGAACCCGCGGTGATGGAGGGGTAGTAGCAGGAGCAGCGTGGCGGGAAGGATGCAGGGATCCCTGCTGGGATGCAGCGATGGGGACACAGTGGGATGCAGGGATCCCTCCAGGGATGCAGGGATGGGGATGCGGCGGCAGGGCCAGGTACTCAGAGCTCAGAGCGCCACAAGCCGGGTGCTCAGAGCAACAAACACCTGGAGATGGAAACCAGGCTGGGATGCAGGGCTCAGGCCTCTTCCTTTCCACTTTTTACCAGATCAATTACAACGGTCTGATTTTTCCCTGCGGAGGAAGGAAAATGGTAGTGATTTGCTAGAAAGTGAGGACTCTTTTATGCTGTTTTGGCATTTAAAAATCTCTTTGCTAAAAAAAAAAATAGATTTAACTGAAGGAGACTCTGTGCATAACCTTTTCCCAGGGCTATTTGTATGATGTGGACCTCAGATCAAGTTCTCGACACCAAGGATCATCTTTTATTCTGCACATGTACAGCGCTCAGCAGAACAGGGCTCTGTTTTATTGTAGACAGTTAAAGCTACTACAACACAGTAACTATAGAACATAATAATGCCTTTGAAATCTCCAGGAGAAGTTGGTAGACTTTTCTGCTCCATTTATCCAGAAGAGCAGAGGAAAGCATTCAAAACTAGCAAGCTTATGGTTTTCACATCATCTTGTTTCATATACTCTGGAGTCTGGAAATGATTTGGACTGTAATATCATAATAAAAATGAGCGACTACATCTCCTCCCGGCTCTGCACCAGCTCTCTCCACGGGCAAAAAGATAACGAACAGCTGGAATGGCCGCTCTCCCCCGTCGGCTCCGAGGGGAAGTTGGCAAAGGCTCTGCAATTCCCCCGGGCTCCGGAGCGGCCAGCGCGGGGCTTTCCCTGCCCGTGGAATGGGCGGGAGCAGGATCCAGGCGGGACACAGCAAGCACTGCTGGGCTAAGGCTGGTGCAGGGCTTGCCCGGGGCTTGTCCCCAAGACCCAACCATCCCTATTTGGAAAGCAGTTACAGAATAAAGGTGTTCCCTGTGCAAGGCCTCCTTTTCTTAAGGATGCTCTGTTTCGGTGGGACAGTTCTCCTGCCTCTTCACCCCTGTCTTCACTACCTTCTACCACCGGACCAAGAAAACAAACCCTTTGCCAGAACTACCACACGGGAATCCATTGATTTCTTCTCCCGTAGAATTCAGAGCCAATTTGTAAACTCAGAGCCCCGGAGCTTCCAAACAGCAGGAAAAAAAAAATCTCCACTGTAATTTCACTTGGGTAGAAATGCAACAACTGTTCCCGAGAATCTGACAGCATTAATGAGGATAAAGAAAGAATGGAGCTAACGCACAGGTCTTCCGCTGGCCCTGCTCCCCTCTCCTTCCTCCTCCCCTGCTCCCTTCCTCAGCTGCATAGCAGTGGTCCCTCTACAAACTAGTAGTATTATTACATTGTCATTAACAATTCAGCTTAAAAACGCCAGCTGTCCATAAAACAGTTTTCTGAGGCTTCCAAGCCGTACTTTGGTCTGACTAAACCATACCTGCATTTCAAAAAGTAAGGCTAAAGTAGTCCCCAAACATCCAGAAGAAGAAAAGGAGAGCAGACAAGTTAGATTATGCAAAATTCCCCCTCACACACACTGAAACTCCTCTCTTCAATACTGCACTTCCTTGGTAGTCTTTGTATACATTAATATTTTATCATTTCTAATTCAAAAAAGACAGGAAAAAGGCAATTATATATTAGAGGCACCCATCTAACAGTTGTATTAATTAGTTGTACCCGGTCTTTACTGATGAACAAGCAGAAAGACACCTGCTGGATTAATGTTCTTCCCCTTGGTGATCCTGAGAGGAAGGCTGCTTGGCCACCACGGGCCAATGGTCAACAATGTGATGGGCAAGGTAGCCTTTTGCACCATGCTTTACTTGTGGAAAGCTTGTTTTCAATGTAAAATCCAACAAATGGTGGGATCAACTTAGTTTTTATCTTCTCCCAGAAAATAAAATAAGCATTTTCATCTAAAAAAGTAGGAAACATTGCGGGGGGAACGTGCTTCTTGCTCCTCTTTTAGCAGGAGCAGAGGACCTTTGCGCTGCTGCTGCAAGTCCTGCCAGGAGCAGCTCCTGGCTGGGGCGTTTTGGCCCATTTCTCCCCAGCCTGGCCAAGGGAGGACTCCACGTGTGGCCAGGAGCGGCTGCTCCTGCCGGACACGCTCCAGCTCCTCGGAGCTGCCTCCTTGCTGGGGAGGCCCAAGGCCTGTGGTCACCCAGTCCCAAGCCAAGGCGCTCCATGGGACCTGGGGCAGACTCAGTCCACGTTCAGGACAGGCAGCCCGTGCCGCTCTTTCTAACCTCCTGCACAGTTGTTTCCACTTGAGCTTCTTTTTAAAGCCCGACAAACCTAAGGAAACTGCTGGGCTCTGGTGTCTGTGCAGCTGACCGGGCTCTTTGGGAGGTTCTTGTCCCAGTCATGTCTCTTTTATGGCTTCTTACATGTTCATATGCAATGAAATAACGGAAAGGAATGGTTTTAGCAGAGGGGAAGAAAATCAGGGCCGCCACCTGGTTCAGTTTAGCAGGCTTCTTCCAAAGCACTTGCCAAGAACGGGAAGTGGCCAAGGCGCTTCCAAAACAAACATGTACGCAGCAAACTGGCTGCAGGACGCTCTGAGCAGCTCAGTGGGGCCGAGAACCAGCGAAACACGGCGTGTCAGGACACACCGCCTCTGCGAGCAGCCACCTCGGAATACATTAATGATCAACAATTAATCAATCGACTTATAATTCATTAATAATCAACTTATCATTAATATTAATGATCAATATGAGTTATTTCTGAGATTTTTTTTCCCCTCAACCCATCCCTAATAAAACTGAACTGAAACCTAACAAGATGGACCTTGAATTGTCATTTAAAGGGAGGGGAATATACTACACTGGCTCTGCTGGCAATTTCCTCAGGATAAAGGCAAATGTAGGACAATATTCTGACCATGCCATAGAGGCACCTGCAGGTCCTAAACACAACAGCCTGGCTGACATGGGCCCGGCCACGCTGGGTGCTTTGTGCTGGTGGAGTGACTCACCGTGCCATGCTTAGCCTGCAGGGAGCAGGTCTGCACACACTGCTATGGGTGCAGGCAGCTAATGAAGATTCTCCTCTGTCTTAAGCTGTTTAAAGCAAAGAACAAATCTTCTAAACGATCATGTTGATTCTGTTGCAGGCTGCCACTCACCAGCTGCACTGTGTTTTGACACTGGCACTGGAGATCATCGGGTCTGCAATATCCCACTATTTGCAGGTATTTAGAAAATAGCGATCTCTGGCCATTCAGCCACATGCTTTTTAAGTGTTTCACAGTTTCTCTTGCTGTACTCCCTGAACAAAGCCCACCAGCACTGTTACTCAAAACCAACAACGAGAATATCAAATCATAACAATACGGATCCCGGTGAGGAGGCTCTTGGCTCGCTGCGCGAGCGCGGTGAGAGCGGCCACGGGCTGTTCTCGCTGCAACGCGGCTGGCACAAGAGCTCACCAGGCCTCTCTCCGGGCCGCCCCCACTCCAGAGGGCCTTGACACGATGAGGAGACACCAACAAATGTGCCACGGCCTTCCCACCACCAAAGCACTGCTGGAAAGTGCCCAGGCAACTGCTCTGTTTTATCAGCACTGCCATCGGGGAGCAAGAAGTCACGAAGGCGAATGGGGATGGATGAAGAAAGAACAGAAGGGTGCAGAGCAGGAGGCAGGAAAACAAGGAGCAGAGAGAGCTTCAGAGCCCTGGAACAGGCTGACAGGGAGGCTGTGCAGTCTCCTTCTATGCAGGTCTTCCAAACCTGCTTGGACACAGCCCTGTGCCACTGCTCTAGGTGACCCTGTGTGTGCAGGAGGTTGGACTGCATGATGGATGGAGGTCCCTCCCAACCTTAAGGATTCTCTGATTCTCTGAACTTCTGCAGAAGGTGCGGTGGTCAGAAGCCCGAGCAGCTGAAAGGTGGACGAGGATCCCATCTCCATCCTCCAAGCAGAACCTCCAGCCGTGTCTAATGCTGGCTGTGTCTAACGCTCAGCTGCTCTCCAGTGCCAATCCCACTTGTCCCATGACAAGTAGCCAGATTTACAGTCAGGAAAAAGAGACTGAACTTCCTGGCAGAAAGAGATACTAAATCTTAATTAATCTCGCAATAGCAACATTGCAGTTTGTCCCTGGAAGTCTGCAAGTATATTTATAGGGCAATACTCATCCGCTCTGCTTTGGCGAGCACCTCCAGGCTGGGGGAAAGAGGATGGGAAGACCTGCCAGTGCGACACGAGTGCTCTTCCTCACATTTACTTTGCTGCTTCTTTGGCCATCTGGCTTCTTGGAAGTTTGTGTCTTGAACACATCCAAAAATTATCAAAATCACCCTACGCCCACCAGGGAT